CTTTTGCAGACAGTTCTAAAAATAGATAATTTCACAGACAGAAATGTAGCAATTTTTTTTATAAACCGTCTAGCGTTCTTTACACTTCTGTAAAAAGTACCAGTAAAGACAAACCTAGACGATTAAAAAGAGACAAGAAGAGGAAAATGCATCAAATTAATTGTTTATTTACACTTCTATTAATTGCTATTTTATCATTCTACATTTTAACAATTTTTTTATAGGCCTGAAGTTTCTTTAGATTCCTACACATCATGACAGAATTGTCAATTCTACATTTTTTTTTAGAGAATAAGTTTGTGACAAACAGTTTTTTGTCTGTACTCTGTACAAATTGGATTTTCAAGTTTGTGGGTGTAACGAACATTTTTAGTGCTATTTATATTTTTTCTTTGAAATGCTGAACTCCGTGTCTTACATTTTTTTTTAATACTAACTTTCTCTTACTGCATTAAATTGAAATTTAAACTGATTGTTTTTACCGTGGCCGGCAATAAAGTCAAAGGAAAAAAAAGTCATTTTGTTGTGGCCGGTAATAAAAATTCATCTTTCTGTCGGGTACTTCACGAGTTTAGGTCCGCTGTTTTTGCAACAGAAATTCATAACAAGTAAAAATGTGTAAATAAAACGACACAAATTCCAAAAAATATGTTTTTAATAATGCTAAGGTCACATATTCGGTATATTTCATAATTAGGCAGTCCTAGTAACCCATAAGAACCGACTTTATGTGAAGAAAGCCTTAAGAAGGTTGTGTGTGTGTGTGTGTGTGTGTGTGTTTAAAGTTTGCATCAAAAGTTTTCAAAACGTAAGCAAAGCACGGGGATCGTACGAAGAAAGCCATAAAAACGTTTTCTAGCAATACTACTGTCACATATTTGATATATTTCAATCATAGTCCTAGCATGTGACTTTGTGTGAAGAAAGTCTCAATTTGACATTGAAATTTGAATTAAAATTTCCTTGAATTTTCAATTTATTTATGAGACTGAGATTTTGTCCATTTTTGGGATAAAGAAGACTAAGAAGAGGCTGGGTGGGATTTTGTCCGGTTGGATTTTTTTGTCTGTTGGGATTTTGTTCAATGTGTGCTAAACTTGTTCTGTTTTTTTTTTTCCTGACTTTTTTACCGTGACTTTTTCCTGTGCATTTCAGTCACTTTCCTATCGTCGTAATGTAGCATCCTCGTGTCTTTTCTTAGTTTTCTATAAAACCGTAAGTTCTATGCTAACAGTTTCTTCTTTCGCCTATGGAACTCTCTTCTGGTTACTTGCTTTCCAGTCAACGTTGATCTTAAGAATTTAAATGCAATGTCAATCGTTATTTTCTGTCATCTTATGCTTTTATTGTTCTCCCTCCTTAATATTTTTTTTTCTTTTTCTTGTATTTTTTACACTCAATAGCGGCCTTATTGCCTTGCTTGGAGTGAAATGATTAAAAAATATCGGTGGAAAAATGTAACTTAAAATTATAAACTCTCAACAACCATTAATCATAAAAGTAAAACACTTTCGTTATGTAAGTGAACTGAAAACTGAAATATTCAATAATTGTGACCACATATTTCGAATTCCAACTTTCCTTCGCGTAAAAAAGCGCAGATTAAATACGATGTTCGCTTCGATAATAATATCTGTTATTTTATTATCATGACGTCAGAGGCGGATGCTGGTGGTATGGCAGCAGAGATTGGAACTTTCTACTAACAATCTATATTTATTTTTACTTTGTTAGCAGTTTGGCAAAATGGCGTACAAAGGAGAAGTGTATCAGTGGATATCAACATGGAACAAAAAAAAAAAAAAAAAAAAAAAGAAAAAAGCTACAATTGACATTGAAAGTTTACAGAAACCAAACAGTGGATGTGAACACAGTAAAAGTAGTTTGCTCCCGTCGGTACAGATTTTGACAAGCGCAACATGCAGGCTCTTGTTCACCGCTGGTGTAAATGAGTAACCACAAAGAAAATTGTTTTGTAGCTGCAAAACTTGCCCTATCCATCGCTATTACTTCACTCCTCTATCCGTTGTTTCTGCCGAAATAAATATCTGATGCATTACTTTCGGGGCGTCCATCTTATTATCTGTGCATTTGTTTTTCACTGGGATTGAATAAATTTTAGTTTTTACTTCTGGAAAAATAATTGAAATAAATTACATTGCATTTTCCGACGCTATTTTTTTGTTTTGTTTCGAATGCATGACTTTTTAAATCAAAAGGAAGGAGGAGAGTTTGTGGTTCGTGTGTTTTGTTTGGTTCTCAAGCGTTTCTCAATCAGTGCGCCCGGGCGCCGTAAGTTATACTAAGTTGAACATTTCCATAAAACTAGTTTTACATAATTTGTAAATGCTGTACAATTTTTATATCTGAAAGTAAAAGGAAGATATGTTAATTTTTATTAACTATATTCAATTACTCTGGTAATTTAGCATGTTGATATAGAATAGCTACATTTAAGTTCTGATTACGAGTTAAAAAAGAAGAAAAAGTCAATACAGGGGGAGTAAAACAATGTTTTACATTCAAAAATTGTTGAAGGGTTAAATTTGAACAATACCCAATATTCACGATCATAATTTAGTTTGTGGAAATTTTGTTGTTTTAGAATTTTCAAGATTAAAAAAGAAACGTAACAAATTTAAGATTTTATAAAAGTAGGCGCTCCCAAAGATTCGCTAAAAAATTAAGTATACTTGATGAAAAATGCCCCCAAAACTTAATAAAAACAAAATTGCATCGTCAAAATCTTTGTTAGGAAAGACCAAATTATAATTAATAAATTATATAATTTTATCCTTTTTAGAACCATAGAAACTTTGGTTAAAAATGTTTTTTTTCATCAGCAAGTAGTATGGAAAATTTGGAAATTCTCGTCAGATAATTGTCGGATTTTAATGAAACTTTTAGAAATTATTCACAAATAAATTATTTTTTCAATGTTCCATTTTTAGAAAATCTTTGTAAAAAGATGTTTTTTTTTACATGTTAACCCAAACCTAAACTTATTTAATTTTGGGAAATTTCGAAAAATTCTTTTTTGTAGCGCTTAATGTTTATAGTTATAAGGACAAGTCTTCGGAGAATTTTTTAAATTAATTTTTTGGGGGTCAAGCATGGATCCCAGTTAAATAAAAAAGTCAGATCTGGATTATAAAAAAAAAAAAATGGAATAAAAAATAAAACTAATACATTACTTAATTAGAAAAGCTTTTAATTGTTTTATGTATAAAATATTAACACTTGTATTTTTTTTTTTTCGATGAATAATGAATTTTTTACAAGAATTGATTTTAATTCAAATTAGAATAATTTTTGGACTTTTAAAATCTTGCATATATTTGTAGCGGTCAAGAGATATTATTTACTAATCATAGATGAAAAAGCTTACTACAATTCAACGAACCCCAATATATGTGAAAAAGAATTTTGAATTTATTTTAAGTGTGTAAACGTGCCAATTTTTGTAAATACGGATGTCCAAATGCAAAATTATCAGAAAATAAGAGCGGTAACTAGTAAAGATTGTAAACCAAGGTACCTAAAATTCAATAAAATATTAAATTGCTTAGAATACTTCCTTATATTTTAAGATTACTGGGTAGTTAATATATATATATATATATATATATATATATATATATATATATATATATATATAGTAACCCGGATATAAGAGAGTTGTCGGGACCGGAGAAGAAGTCTCTTATATCCGGCTTTCTCTTATATCCGGGTTTGGTCTGTTATATATACATTAACACAGGCTCTAATTTGGGACCAGAGAAAATCTCTCTTATATACGGGTTTCTCTTATATCCGGGTTACACTATATATAAGGCGCTTACATTACATTCAAGTAGTTGTTACAGTTATTTCCCCTTTTGAAAAAATATTTTTGAAACGGAAATGTTTCAAGTCAGATAAATTAAACTTAAAATCAGCTAATCTTCCTCAAAGAAAGTCTCAGAAGAGTATATTTTATTTTTGAAAGAATTTTTAATAAAGAGAATTACGTTGTGTTGACAGATTTGTAAATATGGACGATTTTAGTGTTTTTTTTAATGATAAAAATTAAATAACAACTCAGTTTTATACATCGAAAAAAAAACATACCGAAGGACAAGGTTTTTAAAAAATGCATTTTTTATTTTAAAAATGAAAATTCTTGAGGCTTTTATTTTAATTTCAAGTTTATAGATAAAACTTAATATTTCCAATAAGCCAAATACTTTGCTGTATTTCAAACTGAATTTTTAAATTGATTGGCTTTTATAATAAAAGCTATAAACGAAAACATATTTTCAGTTAAAAAAACAAAGTTTAATTTAAAAAAAATTATGACAGGTTTTGCGACTGTCAAGTTCACTGATTGTCAGCAATCAAAAGTACAATAATCAACAGTTGAGTAACACATTAAAGTTGAATACATTCTTCTCGCTAGAGAAACTACCTAATTTTTGCATATCTTCCCCCACCCAAAAAAAATCTCCTCTTCAAAATTAGGATTAAGTAGGAAAATTTAGTAAAGCTTAGCTTAATTTTGGTTAAACTTTGTATCTATAGAGCACCCAGTGAGTTTCAGATTCACTAGAAAGTACTTTTCCAAGAGCTTGAAATTTGTTTTAAATTAGTAAAAAAAAACATTTTTGTGACTTTTTGTCTGTCTCTCTTGGTTAGGCTAGTTGCGTACTTTTCACTGGTTGTAGTGGCCAGTGTTTGTACCCTAGTAAAAGCTCAGGATCTCGAAAATTGGTTTTCAAGACAGACCTGCACTCTCCTCTTGGTGGATTGGCGCAACTCAATCTTCCTACTCTCATTTAAACCTCGTGCCGTACTAAACTAATCTTAGTAAATCTGTATTGGTTTCAATGCTGTTTAAATCTTCTTAAATAGAGAGTTCGACTGCTCTTCCTTGTCTGTGTTACGACGAGGTTCTTTCGATAACATTTTTTTTACTAAACTTTGGACTTATAACCTTTTAAATTTAAACCTTTTCATCTCACATGATGTCGACAAATAGTAGACGAAAGCGTTGTGACATTCCAGCCAATATCATGATTGGCTTTCTCGGTGCCGGCCGCATGGCCCAGGCGATGGCACGAGGTCTCATTTCAGGAGGTATGTTAAAGAAACATTTTCCCCGCTTCAAGTTAATTTCTCTTTAAACCAAGTTTCTTCATAACGATATGTATTTTTTATTTTTTAACTTGCAAAATTGGCATTTCTCGCTTAAATTAAGTTTTTAAAATATTTCAGAATTAAATTGTCCATCTTATTTTTTTTAAATATTAGTAAATTCAGTCTTTCTGCTCCTAACATTGTTGTTTCAATGTTTTTTTACTTTACACTACAGGTTGTTTTACAAAATTTACATTCATTTCTCTTCAGAAAACTTTTACTTTCTCTCCAAGAGTTTTAAACGAATAAAAGATAAATAGCCACTGTGCTTGTTTTTGTTATTAAAAAAGATTAAAAGTTTCTTTTATTTAAAATGATTGTGGTTTTTCACTCTGCAATTTATGCGATTTGTAATCGTGTAATAATAATAAACAAATTAATGCGGATCAATCAATTCAGTAACCAATCAATCTTTTTATTCATATTTTTTATGTCTTCGATTTTAAAAGTTTACAACTTTTTTATTCAAAGTATACACCTTACAAAATGTGTCATTTAATAAAATTGATTGTAACTGAAGTTTTTGGTCCACTAAACAAGTAGAACATTAAAATATAAAAATTGCTAGCAATCTATAAGTTGGCTGATGTAATGCATGGGGAAAGTAGCCTTTCAAACATATTTTTTTAACTTATGAATAAATATTCCCTATGTGTAGATCTTTCTGCAGTAAATTCTTTGTAATCATAAACTTAATAAGAATCGTGTTTTTCTTTCTATAAAAACTTAAAATTTAATTTATAAAAGGTTACTTTTTTGGTTGTTTTTGTTGAGCTCACTCACATATTGATTTGTAATTTTCTTTCATAAATAAATAAAAACAATACCAGTTTCAAGTCATGATCTGAAATGATTATCTTGTTTGTTAATCAAGTGTTACCTACAAAATTTTATTCTTTCATCCTTTGTTCAAATTGTCTTGACAAAGTAATTTGATAAAAATATGGTTAATGAACTTAATGACAATGTTCTTTGAAAATTGCGATGAGTACAATACAAACTACATGTTGTGTGATGGTTAACGAGCTAGTTTCACAGATGGTTGGTGGCGTGTTTGATCCTCACTGGGTGCCTCATATTTGTCGCCTTGTGTCAAATCTTAGGTAACTAGTATTTAAAAACTGGAAAAGTTTTTTTGTTTGTATAATTCTATTAATTACAAAAATGTACAATAATTAATTAGTCAAATGTGGTCAATGTTTAGTGAGACTAGAGATGAAGTCCTCATATAGCTAAAAAACTAATTTTAAGGAAAGTCTGACTATACCTTATTTGTGGCAGGAAACCTAATAATAGGAAGAAAAATACTAGCTTTTTCTTGCTTGAACATTTTATTTTTAAGGTTTCTAATTGCAGATTAAGCTTATGATTTAATAAGAACTGCTAGTGTGCAATGAACCTCATTGCTTATGATATTCAGGACCATCACATTTTTGTGTGCATCACCATGAGTAACTCCTGGTGTCCACAGAAGCCACCTATCATTCTATCCTTTTCACCTGGCCGCTTTCAAAAAACTGCCTTTTATGTCACTAGTTAGTACCATGAGAATGATGGGCCGTTTCACTTCCTCTATTAGATTGGAAGATGTCAATGCTCTCAATATATCTAACAAGATTATTAAAATCTGATGTATGCTACGTAACAATTCATCAGAGATCGTTTTTTTTTCCGTTTATGGCCTAATAAAACGTTCTCAAACAACTCATAATTTTTTTTCTTTTTTTGAATTGTTTAATAACAACAAAAAAAAAACATCTGAATCTTGTATAAATTTAACAAAATTATTAAAAACTAAAATTAAAATCCAAATTATGCACTAAAGCTTAACTTTACATTAAAAAGGAATCAATATAAAGCCATGTTTTGTTTGATCTGATGGTAACATGTTTTTCTTATTGAAAATGGAATTATGCAATTTTGGTTCAATAAATAATGATCTATATTTCAATGATCTGTTGCTACTTAATGTTAGCAAAATACAAATTGGCAGATCTTTATTTTCTCTCAGTCGAGAGTGGTTATTTCTTGTTTGTACTCAAGTTTTTAAAGTTATTTAAGCATTTAACAAATTGTTCCAAGAACTATTTTTGAAGCTACACAATGTTTCTGGTCAGTTCTTATAATAGACATGTTATATTTGAGGAAAAAAATGAAAATCTGGAAATGCTTATACAGATTAGTATTTTCAGTTGTTACTTTTTAGTACAATATTTCAGCAGATCAGTTCTCCAGCCTTCTACAGGTGAGCAAGATAGCCAATGATTTTAAATATTATTAATACTATTTCCTGGATTCTACCTTCTGAAGAAGGTTGAAGAATTAAGCAGCCAAAAGGAAAACAACATTGATGAAGAGTCTGAAAAAACTATCATGCAAAAATGATCCATCACCTTAGAACTTTTGACATTTATTTATAACAACCTTATTTTTCTTTGTTAGTGTTTTTTTTTCTACCACAATAGAAAAACTTTTGTAAGGCAATGACATTAAAATGCTCTAATTTAAGGAATAAAAAATTCCCCATTCAATTTGCAACTTAGTAATGTGGGGTCTGTATTTGTGAACAGCTTAATAGTAATTTTTGAATGTGTGCTTGTTACAAAAGCTGCAAAGGAAATCATATGAACATTGAAAGAGGAAAAACAATAAAAAAATTAATTACTGCACTAAATAATGACATCTGTATTTTGTAGAAAGATTTTTATTACATTTTTTATATAGAAAGAACATTCTTCTACAAAATAAACATTGTTTTCTACAATAACGATTAATATTTTCCCTTTTTTTGTTTTTCCCTTCAATCATGACCAAACAATTTTTCTAAATTGTAATACCTAATCAGCAGGAGTCTAGTGTTAAATGATTTTTCAACATAGAATACTTATAACTTAGAAAGATATTTTATGATGGAAGAACTTTTGCAAATATAAAAATGAAAATATTTGAAATGAATGATATCAATATTCTCAGTTACTTAATTCACATCAGAATTGAGTCAGCTTTAAATTTTAAATGTAGTTTAAGTGAAAGTATTTCCTGTAATTTATTTGCAAATAATTATAAATTCTATGTTTTGGAATCGATTTATCAGACTTTGAATAATAATAATAATAATGATGATCTAGAGAATTATTTATTAATTTTGCCTCTACATGGTTGCTGTGTAATATTTCTCATTTTTGTGCTGAAATATTTTGTTTTCATTCTTGTGGGAGATTCTTGTCTCACACCAGCCAGCCATTGCATGGGACAGAGAAAAAATTCTACTCCGATTACCTAGTCTTTCTGTATTTCCTTTTTAGATAGTCCTTGGCTTTAAAAAAATGCTATGAACTATCCTGTAACCATGGAAAGTGAAATAAAGACAATCTATCATCCTGGGTTGAATAAAGGGTTGAATTTGAAATTCTAACAAGTACAAAAATAGACACCTGAAGGCCACAATGTACAATGGTTGAAATGTGAGTATAACAATAAAACCAAGCATAATTTTGTTTGACAATTCCTTTAACAAACTATAAAGTAGAATGGTGCTATAAAAATGCTGGCAAAAATTAGTTATGGATTAAATTAAGGTATATAAAATAGGTGATGCTGCGTATTTGGTAAGATTGGAAGGGCACTGTGCATTACAAGCTTCTTCCACAAAATTAAACTTAATTCTGACAAGTACTGTTCTTAGTTGGACTGATTAAAAAGCAGCAATCAAATAAAAGCACCTAGAATTGTCCAATCAGAGAGATGTCATTTTCTATCAGGATAACGCTAGACCTTGTGTCATTATTTTTAGGCTCATCAGAAATTGGTAAAGCTTGGTTAGGAAGTCCAACTACACTTGCTGTACTCAACCAACCATGTGTTCAGAATTCTCTTAATGGGGAAAACCTCCAATTCTCTGGAAGCCTGTAAAAACCACTTAGACCATTCCATTATCCAGAAAGCTGGTGAGTTCTGAGAAGAGGGAATCATGAAAGATGATGAAATGTAGTAAGACAAAATGGCACAAATGTGTTTGAATAACTCTATATACACACATATCTAAATAATGTCTTTTAAATTCACTTAAAATGTCTACAAATTTTTGCCCCAACTTTATTATTAGATGTCTTATGTTTTGGGTAAGTTTTACTTTCTTTTTAGTTTATTTTTATATTTGTAAAATGTTTGGTGCTTTTCTAGAGTTGTTAAGTTTCATTTATTTTCTTTTTATTCAGCCAAATAGAATTTTCATTTATTCTTTCTTTATCTCTTGAAAATGCATTCTTTTTTCCATTCAAGGACATTTTTGATTCACTTGTTTTCTTTCTATAAGCAACCATTTAAAAAATGTATTAAACTTATTTGTTGTTGTTGTTTTTAAGAAGCAGTGGGTGTTGGGTATCTTAAAATGTTTTCTGTACAATTTTATTTGGTCAAGTGAAGGCATTTTATTGGCAATAATTTGAGCTTGAATATAGAATATAACAATACAATAGCCACATGAGACAATTTTAAATCTAAACTGTCCTGAGTTATTTTAAATATATTGTATTTGTAAATCTTTGTTTTATGGTGTTAAATTAATGTTGCTTTTAGAAGTTTCTAAACAGTTTTCTTTCTGTACTGTCCAAACAACAGAAAAGAAAGTTGTGAACATTTTTGAGTTTTAGCTGAATAATGATTAATGTTGACAGTATATGACGTGATTGCATAAGCTTAGGTACCTCCACGAGATCGCTAAAAAAAGAGCATGGCATGATGAAAAAGACGCCAAACTTGACGAAAACAAAATTTTATCGTCTAAATGTTTGTTATTATTAAGAGGAAAGGTCAAAGTATTTTGGGGGTATTTTTTTCCATTTTTTAATCGTTCCTAGCACGTCCGAAATTTTCGTTAAAAATCTAGTTTTTTTTGAGTCAGCAAAATTGACCATTTTTTTCCATTTTAAAAAAAAATG